TATAAATTTGAATTTGTATTTGATTTGATTTTCAAATCAAATATTCAAATGTCAAATCGAATTGCGGAACCCTAATGGAATATAAAAGGTCTTAGCTTTTAATTGCAAGAATGATGTCATGAAGATTTTTTGTAAAGATTCCAAATGAAAGGTTTGTGAATTTAATACAATATGTATTTTGTATTGAATCTTTTCAGCTAAAAGAATACATAAATCATTCTATACATAATGACTTCAAACTTGATAGAAAAGTTTAATATATTTAGAAGATATTATATATAATATAAGCATATTACTATATCCCTTTAACAGTTATTTTAAAGTCAGTGATATTTTTATATTTTGCAAAAATTTCTTTGAATAGTAACAAGTTTTATTTATAAGGAGATATTAGTAATATATATAATACATAAGATTGCTTGTCTAAACTTATTTTAGATTTGACTAAACATTTAAACCTTTAGTTTTACTAAATTTTTACTAAGTATTTAATATAGTTTTATTATTTTTATAAACTTTAACATAGTTTTACCTTTTTTTGAATTTCGCAGATTTTTAATAAGACTTTAATATAATTTAACCAAGTTTTACCTTTACTATTTAGACGTCTATCTGTCTAAACTCTTAATTTTATCCAGCAATCTAATAATACATTTATTAAATTGTATATTATCTTTGTATTAGTTATATTTAAAAAATTTTTTAATTTTAAGTTCTGAAATAGTCACATAAAGAGTTGCAGTTACTATGTTTAATATTACAAAATGGATAATTGCAAAACATGTCAAATTTATGTGATAAATAGAAACATCATCATCATTTTAGATAAAAATATTGTTAATAATAAGAATAATTTTGCTGCTATTTCTTTCTTTAAGGGTGAAAGAAATATTACAAGTTATTGCAAAAGGAGTTAATTTTTTAGGCTTTGTCTATAATATCCTTTTTAAAGTATTTATTAACGTCTAAAATTTTGAGCGGTTATTAATATTAAGAAAATAACTACTGTATTTTCAGTTTGCATATTATTTATACTTGATTATTTAGATAAAACAGGTTAAAAAATTTTATTGAGTATAGTAATATTTAAGATATCAAAAATTTCAAATTCTTCTGTATTTTTTGAAAACAAACCATAAGTTTATTTAATATTTCTTTGTTTAAAGAAGTTAGTTGTTCTGTTGAGATTGAAGATAAGAAGTTGACTGAAGTAAAAACAATATTCACTTTTGGGACAGAAGGAACTGTATGAAGTAGACTAGTAATACTTACCTAAACTTTTTTTTGAAAAATTGTAGTTTGATCAAAAGGATTTGTCTCTTTAATATTTTTATATGAATAAATATAAAATTATTATATTTTTTAATGTATTTTAATTCAAGAAATTCAAATCAAGTTAAATATAATTTAAGCAATTAAGTAAAACAGTTTCATTATTAATAATAAACTAGTTTCATTATTTTAGTTTCATTAATTTCATTATATTAAGAAAGGTAATTTTATCAAGTATTACTAAGCAGATAGCATATTTTTTTTTGCATTAGTTTTTTTATTATAAAAATAATTAAATGGTTTATTATGCATTAATTAAATTGTATCAAGATATAAATTAAATTAAAATATTTTTATCTTATTTTTTATTTTAGAAATACTATATATTAAAAAAAGTAGATTATTATTTGTAAAAAAAAAACCTCATATAAAAAAATATATTAAATTATCAAGCTAATAAGATAAATTATTATATATTAGTACAATTTTTAATAATTTTAAATAAATTAATAACGTCTAATATTAAATAGTCTTTAATTATTTTGGCTATTAATTACTGAAAAATCTAAAGATTATAAAATCTAATTAACAGTCAAAGAAAGAGGAATATATGACTTATGATTTGTTTATAATTTAAATTTAGACATAAATCTTGTTTAAATAATATTTTTTCATTATATGTTATACTTCTAAAATCTATTAATAATTCATTAAAGTTGCAAGTGAAGATTCAACAACAATCTTTAATATTTCAAGCTCTTCTAAAAATAAATTATAAAGCAAAATATTTAAGCTCTCTAATTGTTGATAATCATTAAAAATTTCTTTTAATGATTTTATATTTTCATTTAAAAAAACAGTATATAAAAATATTATATTTAGACAAAATTTACCTATACTAAATTTAATGAATTCTCAATAATATTACAAAATTTAAAGCTTCTTCAAACTCTTTTTATTAATTTTCAAAAATTTGATTAAGTATTTATTATCTGAGGTATTCTATTTCAAAGTTTTAAATCTGTAATTGCAGAAAGATAATATATTGAAGTTTATTGAAATCTTTTAAATTATCTTCTATATTAAATAATAATAAGCAAAGTTCTTGTAGATTTGAAAGAATGATATGTTATATAAAAATATACTTAATTAATTTGGTTATTTATTATAAATACAATAACCAAATTAATTAAGTATATTTTCATTTTTCAGCTTTATATATTAAAAAATTATATTCAAAAAGGTTTTCAAGTTTATTTAAATTAAAAATATATTATTTTAATAGGTTCAGGATTTAAACAGGAATGTAAAGTGGTAACTCGTAATATAATATTGAAAAAAGCAAAAAAAAACTGGTAGAAACTAATGAAATGAAGTAAGTAACTTTATTTAATAATTTAAAATTTTCTAATAAGTGATTAGATGGTTTTATTGATAGAAATAAGTTATCTAATAAATAAATAACTAATTCAAAAATTACCAGAAGATTTAATTAAATAATAGTATTCATTTTTAAGTTTTATTTTTTATAGGTATATATAATATGATTATCCTTTTAATTTAATTGTTAATCTTGATGAAACTTCTTTTAGTTTTAATTTATCTTCTTTAACATTAGATGACAGATAGTTCTAAATTAGAACTTGTAATTATTTTAAATTAAAAAAATATACCTCGCAAATTTTTTTCTGATAGAATTAAAAATTATGTTAATAAAAAATGTTAGGATAATGAAAAAGAAATATTTTGATAGATTGAAAAGGTGTAGTATAATAGGAGAAGTACAAATAATAATTCAAGAAGTTTTTTGATATTTAATTTTTTTACAACAATGATGTTAAAAATAAATTTGATGAAAAACAAACAAATATTACAGTAATTTCTAAAAGGTTAACTAATAAAACTTTAACCATTAAAAGTTAGAATTAATAAAATATTCAAATCCAAGATAATTTTTTTTATAATTACTTTTTTCAATTTAATTTTATTTAATAATTTTATTGTTTATTAGATTTAAGAATTATATAATGAATGGATATCTGAAGAATTCATAAATCTACTTCTGCTGATAAGCTTGCTTATAATAAAATAGTACAATAGATTAAAGTTAGGGTTGATAAAAGTTCACATTGATTCTAATTGATCCTGATTAATTTTAAAAAATTATTAAATATTATCATTTTAATCAATTTTTTAATTAAAAGTTACTTATTAAAATAAGTTTAAATTTCTTTTAAAATTTAAAATATCTTTAAAATTTTAGATTTAGGATCTAGGTCTTAGGATTTGATTCTAAATTAAGTATATTTCTTATTTTAAAAAAAATTTTTATTTTAAATTAATATGTATAATAATTATTAAAAGGATATATTTATTATAAAAATTTAATTAAAATATATAAATCAAAATTATCTTTAAATTCTTTAAGATTAATTAGAACTTATTAAGGCTTTTACCAACCTTAGTTAAAGTTGCTTGGGATAACATTAATGTTGAAAAAATAAAAAATCCTTCAAATGTTGTGATATTTCTGATGGCACAGAAGATGATTAATTTTCAATTATGATTTTTTAAATGATGAAAATGATAATTCAGATGATGATGAGATGTTTGAAGATACCATATATGATGATTTTGTTGCTGATTATGATAATTCTTATTCTTGGAATTAATTAGCATTAATTGAGATAATATAATTGTTTGCTGAAAAAAAATAACTTACATATTATTTACATTTGATAAATATTTATCATATTTTGTATTAATAAAAATATACATTTATTGATATCAATATCGGTTTATAGTACCCGGGTACTTTTCACGGAGATCTGATGTATAGTATCCGGGGGATTATACACAGGGGTAATATAGAGCGCGCTTTACGGTAACTAAGAGGGTGTTTTACAATATTATAAAATTTTTTTTGATTTATTTCGACATTCACGTGAAATAATTTACGCCGAATTGATTAAGCATGTATATCTACTGAGCGAATCAATTTGTTGTATTAAATCTCTAGTTTTCGCTCGAATTTCCGAATCTACAATTGCTCCACAATGTTTAATATTTAAATTTTTCAAGGGACGTTTTAAATTTTTGACAAGAACGTCGAAATGTTCGTCATCAAAACAATTGCAAAACTCAAATCCCAAGGAATCCAATGGAGCTTTACAATTCTTTATAAATCTCTCAAGAGATTTTGCACTAAAGTTCCATTTCATATTGATCTTTAAATTCACCAAACTATCTGGTAATGAATCCCCAATTTCCGAAAACATTTCATCATCTAAATCAACCGTTTCAACCAATCTCATTAAATAATATAATTCACTAAACCTTCTTCCATCCGGGGTATTTTTATCCCAAAGTTCAAGGTTACAAAGTTTTGTTGAGGAACGTAAAAACTTCGGTAAATTTTCGATATCTTTCGAATCTATATAAACCAAAACATTTACTAGATTAGGATTATTCTCTGAACAGTATTTAAGGATGTTTATAATTATTCCAAATTGTTCAAATTCTAAATTCCTCAAAGAACTTCCTGATCCTATTAATAAAATTCTAACAACATTTTCGGGTATTGAGCTCAAAATGATTCGTAAATCGGATAAATTTGTGAATGAATCAGTATTTAAATCAATTGAATGAAATTCCCCAAAATTCCGACATCTGGTAATATTTAATTCTTTGAGATTTTTACTCTGTGATAATTGATCAAAAGGAAACATGTTATGAAAATCAATTGAAAGGAAACTTAAGTGAGTTAAATTTGTCGTTTGCGTACTTAAAGATTTGAAGACGATCGTTAAATTTAATAATAAAGAATGATCTTGTGAACAACAATAACATCCAATTCGATTATCAATTGAAAACCGTTCAAGTTGTCGTTGTGATCTTATATAATTTGATATATCAATTAACGTTGAAGGATTAAGAGGACACCCATGAATCAAGGAAATTTTTAAATCATGAACATGTGTTGAAATTTCTGAAGCTTTCTTGTATAACCTTATGTTATAAGCCTCGCCGTAACAAGTAAATTCGCTTAAATTCGAGAGACTGGATTTCGCACCGGGTAAGCTGAACATATTGAAATCCATCAACGTATCATATTCAGGTTCAAAAGCTACATATTTAATATTTATAGCGTGACTAACAAAGTGACTACAGATTGATTGAAAAATCGGACAATCATTCGAAATTGTAACCTTATCTTTTTTGTTCTCCAACCAAAAGGAGGCCGCTGTCTTTATTTGTGTAAGGTTCATTTTACGTAGAAATCTAGCGTAATCGTTATTGGGTCGTCTTTTTTGATAAACATCAATCAAATTTGAAGGTAAATTCAAATGGTATAAATCTTCCAAAGTAAAACTAGAAAGATAAACATCCAAAAGAATCGTCGCATTATCTTCTTGAGGATGATTACAAAATGGATCTCTCCATAAAATTGGCATTGCGGTTTCACACCAAGCTTTACAAACCGAAATACTTGGGAGAAGATTACTTAGATTTATATTATTTAGATTATTATGATGCCATTGTAATTCAGGTTCATATAATGTATATTCAAAAATTTCACGAAGACACAAGTATGGTAACGATGACATTTTTATTAAAGAGTAAAATCAAAAATTATGAATGGAATGTAAAAGATGAAAAAAGATGAAAAATGAAAAATGAAAAAAAAAAAAAATTTTTTTTTTAAAAAAAAAAAAGCGAGGTACAATCAGATCTTTTTTTTTTTAAAAAAAAAGCCCTGTCAAATGTTTGTGTCACATCAGCCTCGTGAAACCAGTTTCATCCGGTTTTAAAGGTCGATTTGTTATGCAAGCCATGATGCTATGCTGATTTAGACATTTCCTACTACAACAAGCAACAATTTGACATTTCGAACATACCAATAAACTCCAAATTGATTTTAGATCTCCCGCCTTATAATTACAAATCACGCAAACAGGCTGAACGCGAGGTACACGGGGTTCTAACAAACGAAACCTAGTATGTGCTTTTTTAACTAATTTATCTGCGCATTCTAAATCACATGTTCCAATTTGTTCACATTCATGATACAAATTTACTGTTTCCCTGAAATCGTCATTTTCATTGCCTTCAAGTTCAGCGGTCAAAGCAAGACAAAAGGTGATATGAATTCTTATAGATTTATTTTTCCGAACTTCTTCATCCGTTAATGTTTTCGAGAAAAGAGGATCTTTCAAAGCTTTGTCGATGGATTTCATCACTTTAATTCCGTAATTCCAAATAAGTAAATCACGTCGACGATTAAAATAAAATCGATATAATTCAGTTAAACCTTCAATAACTTCATGAAGGAGATCTAATTCCCATTTCGTATGTGAGCTTATTTTAATGAATTTTAAAGCAATGAAATAATACGCAGCGGATGTTGCGTAATCTGGTACGATGGTGGCATTTAAACCTCGAAGGTTAATATGACCCAATTTCGCTGCGGATTGTGAAGAGTCAAATTTGATTGCTAACTGCAAAATTTCCACTGATTTAACATATTCATGAGAGTTCATTTTACGTTCTGCTTCAGTTAAAAGGTTTTGGACTTTATTTGATGCGGTCAAATCAATCTTATTTATGCCAGCATCATTTTCTTTAAAGATTGGGACTTGAAACAATTTTTCATCCGAGCTTTTTGAACCTTTTAAAAAAGTAAAAGTTTCTTTTGTTAGGAATGAACCCATTCTTTTTTTTAAAATAATATTTATTTAAAATTATTAATTTGGTCTTTTATACAGGTTTATATATCAGGAAGATATTTGAATCCAACCTTCCAACCTTGATTTATGAGGTCATTTTCTTCGAATTAAAAGTTCAATGGAGATTTAGCCTCATGTAAACAAATTTCTTGAAAATAATATATATCCTTAAGTTCTCACTTGTTTTTCTCGTTTTTTTTTTTTTTTTTTTTGGTTGTGGGAAAATTTTTGAGTAAAATTTACTTTTAGATAGTACAACATTCCAAAGTTGGAAAGATCAGATTTTTATCAAAAAAACTGGGACCTAAAATTCTTTACTTTTTTCCAATCGTTTATCATGTATAATCATGCATATCCATCTAGTTATAATGAGTTTCCAAAAAAAAAGTTGCAATTCTCTACTCATTCTGATTATCTATTTTCATATGATTTGAAATCTTTTTATTGGTTAGCAATTCGGCGAAACTAGTTTTTCTTTTATAATTTTCTTTGACCAAAAAAACTTTGTATTAATATCAGGTCTTCCCAGAAATATGTGAAAAATGTCGGATTTAGCAATAAGCTTTTATTTTTTTATTCCTTAATATGTATAATAAGGAACACTTTTATCACGTGATTTGACACCATACTTAAACAAGTTTAGAAGATTCAAGATTTGGGTGGGAAAACGTTTCCATCTATCTTTATTAGGATTTTTAATTTGTAATAAATAAAAAATTCTCAGAGTCTGATTTTCTTAGATTATAACCTGATAAGTGTCAGTATTATATTTTTCAATGAAACTTATTAGCATTGTTGAAAATCCACCCAAATACTTGTCAAAAAGAGGAAAAAACTTTAATTTTGTTGGGTAAGTCGTACAATCCATGGAAAAATCCATTGAATTTCCCATATATAAATAGTTACTAATTCTCCCGTAATGTTCCGTTGTGACTAAGACCTCTTAACTCCACAAATCTTTTTTCCAAAAAACGTTAGTACACCTGTATTGCGTCCGAATTATTCCGTATTTGTTCAATTGGATAATTTGTCCTTTTCCTTTCGAGGTTTCGTAATACGATCAATCGACATGGTATTTAAATAAGCTGCATTGACTATCAGAGGAATTGAAAAAAAAAAATCATGAATTATCCAACGAAAGATAGTACCAATCCGCAAATTCAAGAATATGAATTTAATTCGCGTCAACTTTCGCGTAATAATTCAAATAATTCTCAATTACTTGATGATCCCACGTCCGAGAGAAATAATAAATTCGATATAGCAACTAAAGATAATGTCAAAGATGATAAAAAGTCAAGTGTTAAAGATAAATTACTTGCATTATCATTGAACTTTAAAAGATTTTTTGGATTTGTGGGTCCTGGTTACGGTAAATTCTTTATTGCGGATTTAGTTATTTTCTTAGATTCAATCCATTAATATAATCTATATTATTCACTTTAGTTATTGCAGTTGGATATCTTGACCCCGGTAATTGGGCTACTGACCTTTCCGGTAAGCAATTATGTTTTTCACTTCCACTTTTCGTGGATCGCGTACATTTATTTTACTAACTATTAACTTAACTTAATTAAGGCGGTTCAAAATTCGGTTATTCTCTTTTATTTATTATCTTTTGTTCTAATCTGATGGCCATGTTATTACAAAGTTTGTCGATTAAATTGGGAGTTGTAACAGGAATGGGTAAGAAGAATGTTAAACTTTATGATTTCTAAGACATCACGTGAAAAGAATTTATAAAATCAAAACTTGTTTATTTGATAGATTTGGCCCAAGCTTGTAAACATTTTTTCCATAGATATCCAAGATATTTGCTTTACGTTTTATGCGAACTTGCGATTATCGCTACGGATTTGGCGGAAGTTATCGGCAGTGCAATTGCTATTAGAATGTTATTTAATATCCCTTTACCTTATGGAGTTGCTATTACGGCGCTTGACGTCATGATCATTTTATTTGTTTATCGTGATAATAGCATGAAAGCATCCAGAATTTTGGAAACTTTCGTAATGTTGCTCGTAGGAACTGTCGGAATATGCTTTGTTTTGGAATTAGTTTATTCTCAGCCAGACTCAGTGGACGTTTTAAAAGGTTATTTACCAAGTACTGGGATCTTTACAAATTCCGAACAATTGTATATCGCTATTGGAATTATCGGAGCCACTGTGATGCCACATAACTTGTACTTGCACTCTCATTTAGTTAAAGTGAGAAAATATCGAGAACAAGAACTTGTAACTGCTGATAGGTATAATAATCTTGAAGCAGGTCAAAATATTCAATTAGACAAAAAAGATTTTAAATCAATTGTTTCAAAATTAATGAACCTTTCTGTGATGGATTCATCTGTGGCTTTGACTTTTGCGCTTTTTGTTAATTCATCAATTTTAATAGTAGCGGCGGCTAATTTCTTTTATAAACCAACCAGTATTGAAGTAGCTGATTTATTTGATGCTTACAACCTATTAAGTCAATATCTTGGAAAAGCTGCGGGAACTCTTTTTGCTTTAGCCTTATTAATTGCTGGTCAAAGTTCAACTTTAACTGCAACCATAGCCGGACAAATTGTAATGGAAGGATTCATGGGTTGGAAAATACGTGCCTGGGTGAGAAGGCTTTTGACTCGTTCATTTGCAATTATTCCTGCCATGATCATTGCGATAGTAAATGGGGAAAATGGATTAAATAATATGTTAATCGCAAGTCAGGTGGCTTTAAGTATTCAACTTCCTTTCGCTGTTATACCTCTTGTTTATTTCACGAGTAGCAAAAAATGTATGAAAGTTGATGTAAGGGAGGTATTCAAGAAAAATCCCGATGAAAGGAATTCGCCTTCGATTTTGAATTCTGCTCCACTTGGCACAGAAGAAGATAATTCAAAAATTACGGTTGAAAAAATTGACGAAGATCCATATGTGACTTTTCCTAATACAATTTGGATCACTGTCATCGCAATTATAGTCAGTATCATTATCCTTGGTTTAGATATTTATCTTATTTATGAAACAATCAAAGGTGTGAGTCAAGGCACCTTATAATATTTCCTTTATTTATTTAAAAAACATTTATAATTATAAAATATTTCATTTACAAATATCACATGCTTTCGCAAAAATAAAATAGTTTCTAGTTTATATTATCTCAAAATTATTTCGATTTTCGATTATCATTAAAATAAAGGATTTTCCTTTTCCAAAATTAAAAAATTCTTTATTCATAATAGATTAAATTGTATTATATAAAATAAATTTATCAAAGATATGAAAAAAAATAATGATTAAACTTTTTTTTGTTATATATTAAATTTAATCAATAAATAAATAATATTTATAATTAAATATTTATAAATTATCAATCATTACTTTTGAATTATAAGGGGTTGTAAATAAATTTAAATTTAATAATCTTTATATAATTGTTAATGTATCTATTTATATTTTTTATAAATAAATATTTTAATTATTATAGATTTTTATTAAATAGTAAATACTTATAATTCATTAAAATTTAAAATTTTAATTCAGTTAATTTATATAAATATCTATATAGTTAGTATATGAATTTCACTCCTATTGCTTATATGATAATTTACATTCTTGAAAACTTCTAATCCAAATGATTTTATTAGTAAATTATACTTCTAAACCTTCCAAAGGTGCTTCCAATCTTCCAAGAGTACATTACTGGTATAGAGTATCACATCAAATCTAGATAGAAAATATGGGAGCTTGCAATAGAAAGAAGGAAACTCTAAAAAAATTAAAATTTTATTTTCTAAACTAATTATGATTTTTTTTGTAAAATAAGTTCAGATTTAACATTAATTCAAAAAAAAAATTTTTTTAGAGTTTCCTCCCTTTTTATTGCAAAGCTCCCAT